CATCTTGGACTTTGTGGTTCCAAACAGTATAACATCCTGGACTTTGTGGTTCCAAATAGTATAACATGCCGGACTTTGTGGTTCCAAACAGTATAACATCCCGGACTTTGTGGTTCCAAACAGTATAACATCCTGGACTTTGTGGTTCCAAACAGTCTAACATCTTGGACTTTGTAGCTATTCTTCGGGAAAATGTTAAATTCATGAAGGTCAGTATTTGTATTCGAATTTCATCCGAGTACTCCTTCTGACCCCTTTACTTTGGCCATGTCCATGTATGTAAGACCATTATGTTAGGTTTGTGTGAAAGTCCTGCACATTCACATAGATAATCACACATTTTTTTAATAGATTAATTTACTTGGAGTGTACTTACGTACATAACATTATATTTTGATGACGCGATGTACGTGCTAGCTGTAGATGGCTTGTTCTTACACTTGATGTAGGTGTTTAAAGGGGTGAAATAATTTGTTCCATTTTCATCATGTATGCTCTGAATAAATCAATCGAAATTTAACTTGGCGCGCAATTTAGTTTCGTGATAAAATGAGTGAAAAACAGACAGACATACCATCGGAACTCGTGCGGGTTTGAGGAACTTGTAAGGCTCGTAAGGACGTTCATTTGGCATTATGTTAACGTCGGCATAAAACGAGTCCTGGTCCATGATGCCTACGAATAAAATAATAAAAAAAAAGAGTGAATCATTAAAACGAAATGCACGAATGAAACAAATTACTAGATAATATATTATTACCAGTCCAAATACAACAAACTCCACGTGATGAACTTGAAAAAACAAACAAACTTCGAGGTCGTTTCGCCAAAACATTGCCCACTTAAAAGATCTGTAATGTTTTTGGCAACTTCTGGTGAATGTGTACTAACTGTAATCAGCGTAGCTAAGTATAAAATACACTCTGTTACGATAGGCTTAGATTTAATTGTAAACTTTCGTCACAGTTGTACCTACAAATATCATTTTGTATTCGTAAATATCCTCAAGAGGAGTGTGGTTCACAAGAGGTGAAGACAAAAGCTCCAGTTACAGGTGATATTTGTAACTTATTATGATGTGACCATACGTCTCCAACTTTGATATTTGACTCCGACAGTTTAAAAGATGTTATACTGTTTGGAACCACAAAGTCCGGGATGTTATACTATTTGGAACCACAAAGTCCGGGATGTTAGACCGTTTGGAAACACAAAGTCCAGGATGTTATACTGTTTGGAACCACAAAGTCCAAGATGTTAGACTGTTTGGAACCACAAAGTCCAGGATGTTATACTGTTTGGAACCACAAAGTCCGGGATGTTATACTATTTGGAAAAGGGGGGAATGGTCATCGTTGTACCTGATCCCCCCAGGTCGTCGAGCGAAATACCCATACACAATGTTTCGTTCGTGTTCAGAGTACCAGTAAAAATCAAATACTAAATTCTCCTTACATCAAATCATATTGTGTGTGTCACAAATACAGTGACATGTATTAGCTATAATAAAAAAATATTTTTTTTGCTACATCTGTTTAACAAACAGAATATATATATACATATACAT